GTCCCGGTGTGACCCGTCCGCTCGGTCTCTCTGGTCCCTGTGTGACCAGTCCCCTCGGTCTCTCTGGTCCCGGTGTGACCCGTCCGCTCGGTCTCTCTGGTCCCGGTGTGACCCGTCCGCTCGGTCTCTCTGGTCCCTGTGTGACCCGTCCGCTCGGTCTCTCTGGTCCCTGTGTGACCAGTCCACTCAGTCTCTCTCTGCAGTCACATCAGGGATTATTGTCACAGCAGAAAGGCCTCACACACACATGGCTGTAGATTTAATCCACCTTTAGCATATTAGCATATTAGCATATTAGCATATTAGCATATTAGCCACAGTTAGCTAGAAGGCAAAGACATTAGGCAGCTTTGGCAAAACGAGGAGAGTGCAGGTAAAAAAGGCTGGTTTTAAACTGCAGGGCTGATTAGGGGAAGTGGAAACAGGTGTTGCAGGTGTGGCGGGGGTGACGTCAGGTGACCAGGACGGACAAGAGAGTCTGAGGGCCTCTAGTGGACGGTTGGAGGATGGCAGATCATCGGGGGTGAGAGGAGAGAAAGCTGGGAGAAGTGAGCAGAGGCTGGAGAACAACCGAATTACTTTTATTACAAAAGGATTTGGATGAGTCATCCCGGATTTGCTGAGTGATGGTTTTTATTACATGGTTGTTGTTTTACATCAATAGGTTAAGTGCATAATGAATATATAACTCTTTAGAAGAAGAAGAAGAAGAAGAAGAAGGAGAAGGAGAAGGAGAAGGAGGAGGACAAACGTCTATTGCATCTCATTTTTTTCTAAATTTACAAAAAATATGAAAATGAAAAAATAAAATGCTTCACATTATTGACATTCTTTCATGTCTTTCTTGACACGAAAGAAGTGGAAGTAGCCACGGTGACGTTACCGCCTTTGGTTTGTGGACTACATATTTGAAGCCTGGATGCCGCCATGTTTGTTTTCTGGTACAATGCTGAATACATTTTTAAGCAAACAAAATGTCACCGAAAAACACACCGAAAGGGTTAGACCCGTCAATCACTGTGTAGCCCCGCCCTAAAGCATCCCCTGCTTTATGGTCTGTTTGACTCTAAATGGACCATAATGTACTAAATGAACATCATGCTGTATTGAAGAAGACTTGAAACTAGAGATTGAGACCATAAACTCATGTTTACAATGTTTACTGAGGTAATAAATCAAGAGAGAAGTAGAGTCATTTTCTCATAGACTTCTATACAACCAGAGGAGTCGCCCCCTGGTGGACACTAGAGAGAATGCAGCTTTAAGAGCTTTTAGAGTGAAGCAGCTCTTGTATTTAGTCCATGAACTCACAGGATGGTTTTCTGTTTTTTAGGACGTGCTCTGCATGCTCCTCTTCTCCGTGTGTGTGTGTGTGTGTGTGTGTGTGTGTGTGCGTGTGTGTGTTGAATGTCGCTCTCAGAAGAGTGTTTTGGAAACGGGGCCGGCAGTGTGCAGGTCTGTGTATCCCCGGCGTCAGTTTGGCAGAGGAGCCAGCAGATACTGTGATTACGCATTATCTGGAGCCCGTTCTTCTTCTTGTGCCTTCAGACGTTGCAGCCTTATCGCACTGATACACACATGGTGCACATGCTGGATTGTGTGCGTGTGTGTGTGTGTGTGTGCTCACCCCCCTTCAGATAGGATTACAAGCTCCCAAAAAAACAACACAAATGTGCACAGATACATATGGACGCTTGTCACTTTCTGTCGTGGGCAGGTATTCCATCGAGAGGTCCAGCGACCCCGAGAAGTTCTTCTACATCGAAATCACCTCCGGGTCGCTGATGACGGTGCGCTCGCTGGACCGAGAGCAGGTCGGCTGGCACAACATCACCGTCCTCGCCATGGAGATGAGTACGTCACACACACACACACACAGGCTTTCTCGTGCAAAATCTCCACCTCATGTCTGTTTTATTATTGAGTCCTTTGAACCATGTTTGTCTTTATTTCATGCCACTGAATTGTCGTTCAACAAATAAAGTGACACAAAACGCAGGAGATTAATGTCGAACCAAAGCTCAGCATAAACAGACGGGTGAACTTTCCACATAACCAGTGATTTTGGGAAAAACAAACTCCTGTGGAGTTACGTAACGTGGAGCAGATCTGCACACAGCTGGCGGCACCGAAAGTCACCTTCCCCCTCCTCCCTGTGCTTTGTTTGTCTCTTCGTCCCTATGTTTGGTTGACACATGCTAATTGAATTAATGACTAATTAAATAACTTTTCGCATGGTGGCTAATTAAAGATGTGACGGAGACGGAGAGGGCACAGGTAGGAGGGGGAGGAGAGACAGCAGGAGCAACATTACATGAATCAAAAGTTACTCTGTTCTCTTCAATGTCTTTTACTTGTTCAGCTTTCTCTGTTCTTATGTATTAGCTTTGAGCTTCACTTAGTTTTAAACTTTACTTACACAACACATAAGTCAACGTTGAACATGAACGGCGGTCTCCTGGGTGAAAGTCCTGTGTTTGTTTAACACGTTTCCCACGAAAGGAGAGCGCATGTTAGTTCGTACGGGAATGACGTGGGTCAGACTGTACGCTGTGTTTGCACAACGTACGAGAAGAAACCTCGTTATTATGATATCCAAATCTAAGAATTATGAGGAAACTATCTGGTAATCATGAAATATATATTATGTAAAGCTACAATTGTGATATTAAGAGAATTAATGTATAATTCTACAAAGAAAATTGTTGTATAATGTGACTAATGTCTTTTTTAATGAGCAAAAAGGAATTGCATCGTGACGTAAAGTCATAATATTATGAGGATTAAGTCATAATTTTATAACGTTCTTGCTGGAAGTTGAAAGCAATATTCACATTTTACTGAAGCTGCTTCTTACTGTACTTTTGACTCAGATAGATTTCCACACCAGTGATTTCACTTCACTCCAGTTAAAACATCAGCGAAGTTACAGCACCTTCACTTGAGCCGGACCTTTAAGTGCTTCTCTCTGACCCTCAAACACACACACACACACACACACACAGTACAAACACACACGCGCTTCGACCTCTAGAGCCAAAGTCACGCCATTGATTGATCGATCATGTGATGAAACCTGAGAAAGTAGTTACTGCCCACTAATTGCGCTCCTATTGCCTATTACACAGCTGGTTAAGATATGCAAATTGCCGATTGGTAACGGAGAATAATAGATTTGTAATCTGAGCCCTGATGCGCCGCAGGCTCGCAGCAAATGAGGGGAAGATTAAAGTGAGCTCAGCAGGATCCTCAAAGACTCATTTATCTGAGTGTGCGTCAATGCATCCTGCAGCTTTCTGACCAGTGTTGTGCATCTCCTGTGTGTGTGTGTGTGTGTGTGTGTGTGTGTTCCTGCAGATAACCCCACACAGATCTCCAGCGTGCCGGTGGCTGTGAGGGTCCTCGATGTGAACGACAATCCGCCCTCGCTGACGCACTACTTGGAGGCTTACGTGTGTGAGAACGCCAAAGCAGGACAGGTGTGAACCGATCGGATACGACAACATGAGACGTCGCAGCGTCAACATGATGTAGATGATAAGTGGTGGAAAAGAAAGAGTATTCGCTCAAGATACAAAGTTTGAGGCTCGTGTTTTGGCGCTTTATGCTTGTAGTCCACCAGAGTCCAGAGGAAAAAACACATGTTACTCCATTACATCTATTTGCTTCTAGATTTTAAATACAAAAAGTCCAATTATCAAGTAAAAGCACTGGAGTACTCCATTTCAAGTAAAAGTATTGCATTTAAAAAGTATTCTTCTTAGTATTAGCAGTACCAAAAGTCAGAGTACGTATTATGCAGAATGGCCCATTTCAGAATTATAATATTACAATTATTGATGCATCACTTTAATGTTGAGAGGTGTTAATATATTGTAAACATACAGAAGCTCGAGTTATCTGAATCAGGGCCTTTCCTCCTCTGGGGTCTAACGCCGTCTGTCTTTTGTAACCCAGCTGATCCAGACGGTGACGGCGGTGGATCCAGACGAGCCGCTCGGTGGACAACACTTCTACTACCGTTTGGCTCCAGAGGCCGCCAACAACCCCAACTTCACCCTGAGAGACAACCAAGGTAGACGTCCAGGCCAAGTGGTTCCCGTCACAAGTTGGAGGACTTGCAACTTAACCTGGATTTACTGCCAGTAACTCGTGACTTCACTTGGACGTGTCCCTTATTTTCCTGAATCATGACACTTGTTTTAACAAGTTTATTTACATAAATAATGCTTTTAATATTTTAAAAAGCATTTCATCTGGTGAAGAGTCATTACTTGTTTAGGAATCGAAGACTCAAAGTCTAGGATTTAGGACTTGACTCTGGACTTGCCTGTCTTGACTTGGGACTTGTGAGTCTTGGCTTGAGATATGACTCGGGACTTGTCAGTCTCGAATAAGGACTTGACCGGATATTTGTCAGTCTTGACCAGAGACTTGATAGTCTAGGCTTTGGATTTAAGACTGGACTTGTTAGTCTTGACGTGGAACTTGAATTAAAATATTATACAGGATTCCAGCAGACAGCCTGGTAATAATAATAATAATAATAATAATGTCTTAAATAATAAGCGATGACTAACTGGTGTTAAATTGCTGCTTAAAGCCCCTTCGTCTTCAGAGCTCTATGACTCTTCAACCCCCGTGACTCTGTACTGTCCGTCCATGAACTCAACCCTCTCCTGACCTCTCCGTGTCTTCTCCAGACAACACGGCGTGGATCCTGACGCGGCGAGGAGGCTGGTCTCAGCAGGACCAGACCGTCTTCTACCTGCCCATCTTCATCTCCGACGGCGAGCCGCCGGTCCAGACCAGCACCAGCACGCTGACCATCCGCGTGTGCAGCTGCGACCACGAGGGCAACGTCATGTCGTGCAATGCCGAGGCGTACAGCCTGCCCGCCAGCCTCAGCCGAGGGGCACTCATCGCCATCCTGGCCTGCATCTTCGTCCTGCTGGGTGAGTTGTGACCGGCTGCTGTGAGGATGTGCAGAGAGGAGCCGGTGCTCTTCTGTCCAATAACGATAACGCTGCAAATAAACACATACAAAAAGCATAAATAACCATCACTTAATGGCACGTTTGACGTGTTATGATCCAACAAATACAACATTTTTAAATCAGAATCATTGTGTGTATTCAACATGACGAGCTCTCGCTTGAAGTGAGCGAGGATGTGTTTTAACTGAATGCGTTGCTGCGTCCCGGTGGAGCCGAGTGAGTCGACCAGCTGAGCCCTCCGGCTCACATTTACAGGTCTGCAGGGGGAGATAACGCGGGTCCATGTCGGCCTCCTGGGGAGAAGACGGTGTGAAGCTGGAGGGCGGCTGGTGCTAATGAACGCTAGACGTTTGGCAGGATGCAGGAAAAAAACAGAAAGTGGTATTTAATCCTGCCCACTGGGGGGATGCCTGAGCCGGCTGCTTCTTCTGCTCCCGTGGTATCTCCTTTTACAAATGGAGACTTTAAAGAAGGGAAACTCTTTTCCATCTCCTTCTGATGCGGTTAACGTATTCTTCTTCATGGTTGATTGCTCTCGAGGAGGTTTCAGAATACTCAGAAGAAGCACAGCCGAAAGGCCGGGCTGCAAAACAAAGAGCTTCCCTCGCCGCTCAGTCTGTCCTTTCACATTCTGCTGCACAAGTTTTTAAATACAATCTGACCGGGAAAATGTTTTCTAGATGGAAATTCTAGTTAACTGCACGACATTTTTCTGGATTATTGTGCCGTCACTCTTGGCATGTAATGAGGCATTAGCACAAAAAGAGAGAAGGCGTTAAACTTCATTTATACACACAATGCTCTTCTCCGGTAAGGTTCCCTGCAGGTTTACTTGTGGAATAATGGAAATAGGAAAACGTCTCATTCTCATATCTTATCTTTCCAGAACATAAATGTGAACATTGGCTAAATTCAGTTTTTTTTCTGAAATGTTATGTTTAAATATGCAAATGAGGCATTATCTAATGGAGACATCTAGAGAAACAAATAGACAGAGTAGTCAAATAACAACCTGGATGTGTATTTTGGATGATTTCTTTCTTCTAGTCTACGAGAAAAAGATGGCTGAAGTGTCTCCCGTGAAATGTAGACAATTCATAAAACATTCTCAAAATCAAAAGTCAAATCTTATTGCTGGTTGTGTGAAACAAACAAAAGATATTCACTTTGCAATTACATGAGATAACGTGTTAAACAATGAGCATAAATAAATAGTTTCGCGACTAGCTAAGAAGTCATCAAATTGAAAGAACCGATTAAACTAACTGTTTGTAATCTCTTCCTCTAACCAGTGATGATTCTGCTCATGCTCTCCCTGCGCACCCATCGCAAGAAGCCCTACCTGTGCGACGAGGAGGAGAACGTCCACGAGAACATCGTGCGCTACGACGACGAGGGCGGCGGCGAGGAGGACACCGAGGCCTTCGACATCGGCGCCATGTGGAACCCGCGGGAGGCGCACCACCACCTGGGCAAGATGAGGCAGGACATGCTGCCGGAGATCGAGAGCCTGTCGCGATACGTCCCGCAGGCGTGCGTCGTGGGCGGCGGGGACAGCAACGTCCACGGGTACGTGCTGGCGAAGCTCCTGGACGCCGACGTGGACTCGTGCGCCCCGCCTTACGACTCCCTGCAGACCTACGCCTACGAGGGGGAAGGCTCGGTCGCCGAGTCGCTCAGCTCGCTCCAGTCGGGGACGTCCAACACGGACCACGAGTACGACTATCTCAACGACTGGGGGCCTCGCTTTAAAAAACTAGCGGAGATGTACGGCGTGCTGGAGACAAACGCTCCCCCGATGTGGTAGAACAAAAGAGCCTTTTAGACTTTTAATTTTTTTAATCTGAGATTAATCACACCAAACAAAAAAAAGCGGGACAAAAAACAGCATCAGAGGAGTGACACGAACGTGTGCGCGACAAAGCCGGGGATGTGCTCACGCACACATGCGTGACCGTTAGCACTTGAATTCCTGCCGAAGCCTCGACCCTCCACAGCCTTGAAGGCCCGAGATACCCGCAACAGCAGCAGCAGCAGCAGTGTGAGCTGGTTTTAAATCCCCCCCCCCAGAGACCGGAGGCTTTGGATTGGCAGCCTTGCGAGGCCCACCGCAAAGGAACGGCTTCAAAGCACACGTTAACTCCCCTGCCTTGACCGAGCCACAGGCTCTTTGGTTCAAAGTGTTGAGCGATTCATGCCAGAGATGAAAACCAGAGAGACCTGAACTCAAACTCTGAAATGCTGGAAACCACAGAGACAGTCATTGGACATGTGTGTTGTGTTCTTTTGTTCCATCTGTGGCAGGTCTTAATTTATTCCTTCGTTCCATGTGCTGTATTTATATTGTTTTTTTGGCTAACTTATTTGGGCACTTTAAACCAACACTGTACTTAAAACTGCCGCTGCGTGAGGAAGTCTTTAAAAGATCACATATACGTTGTAACATACATGATGTAAAAGCTCTTGTTTTCCGCGTGAGTTTCTCTTGAGTGTCACATGACGTGCACAGGAGATGGCGATCGATGTAATCCCATGTCGGGGTTTTGTTTTTCCTGCAGGTCGATATGTTTATCGTATTGTTTTTGTATCATATTTGTATCGTGGCTGTTTTTCTCCACAAAGAACAAGAAGCGGTTCATTCACACGAGGAAACGAGGGAAGACATTTTTGTTTGGTGGATGTTTCCCAGCAGGCGGTCCAGATGTCACTCAAGGCCACATCTGGACGAGCACGTGACCGAGTCGCCTTTTTAATTTCGGATCCACCGCCGTGCCGACCAGAGGCTTCTCGATCTGTCCTGTTGGAGACACTGTGTCGCTTTTCTTAATCCTCCGATCCTGTGGACTTCAGAGACGCTGATAATCTGCATTAAGTGCCAAATGTACAAAAAAAAAAAAAAAAAAAGACGTTTTGGATGAAAAACAATAAATAAATCAGCAAAACACAAACACCAAAAGATTTTAAAAAGAAAGGATTTTACAAACTGGGAAGTAAGTGAAGGTACATTTTGATAGATCGGGTGAAGTTTACTTGAACTCTATGTGGTCAGCCATGCTGCAGTACGTGGTATGTGAATGTAGATATTTTTTTGTATTCTTGGTAATAAAAAGGAAAAAATAATGTTGCTTCTCTCTTGTAATTAAATTACCTCGAGAGAACTGAGGCTTTCTGAACATCTGGGTGGTAATATCCAGAGCGCTTTGTAATAATAAACTGCTTCTTTTGGTGGCGAGGAGCATTATGCTTCCTTCCCCCCCGAAGCGTGACAGAAATGCAAGTCCTTCAAAAGATAAAGCAGCTATTTAAATTCCCAATCATACGGCGAATTGTTATTGCAGTTGAATCACTTTTCATTACAGTTTTTCCCGCTCAAAGTGCTTAATTTGCTTGACTTATTTTGTTTTGCAGCTATAATGCTTAGCATTGATTAAAAGCTCGGAGACCGCCATACCTGAGCCTCGGGAGCACATCGCAAGCATTTATGGATTTGCCAATGGGATTAAAAATAATATAATACATAAGCTACTTAATTGCTTTTGTCAGTCACAGTGATCCCAGTGAAGGACAGGGGGAAGGCAACAGGAAAGGAAAGGTGGGCAAGAATCTGAGGGACAATCTACCCCGTGTGATGTTTTACATTACCGTGAATTTCCGTTGGCAAAACAAACCACGAGTCTGAAATCGGTGGCTCTGGTTTAACAGCTGGGTGGCATTCAACAGTGAAATTGCACAGAAGGTGAGCCGGTAACATCCCCAGGATTTACATTTTCCCTTCCCTATCCCCCGCACACTGAGCAGAACACTTCCATTACACTACTGGGGGTTTACCTCTAGTTTGTCTCACTTTATTTTACCCATTCGACAGCCAGCACGGGCTTCACAAATCCTCATGTTTCGCCACCTTGCTTCAGATCAAAGTTTCCTCATCAGTAGTTTGGAGAAACGCTCTCTAAGCTCCGACCGTATGTCATCAGGCTGTTATTGGCTGCTGCCATTTCCTGAAGTGTGAGTTTGTGTTGTATTTCTGCCCTCTAGTGGTCAAAGATAGTTTCATACAGCTTTAACGGGAGACGCCACAGGTGATCAGGTTAAAAATGACCTAATAAACACTTCCCCAGTTGACTTCTTACATTTAGACAGTTTTTGTATTTGATTATCTGAATATAGCAGAAATCTACAGACACAAATAGACAAAGTAGTAAAATAGATGTTTTCTTTCCACTAGTCTGAAAGAAGACGTGTTATGGAAGAAAAATAGACCAAAATATTACAATTGACCAGTGCAAGAAAGTGTATTTCAGCACGTTGGACAGAGCCAGGCTAGCTGTTTCCATCTGCTTCCAGTCTTTATGCTAAGCTAAGCTAAATGCACCCTGGCTCTAGCCTCTTATAAAAGAGTGGTATTTATCTTCTCACCGAACTCAGTTAAAAAGAAAAGAAGAATATTTTCCATTTTATGAAACAGTGCTGGGAGCAGACTTTGTGATTTTTAATTAATTTAACTCTGATTGACGAATAAAAGGATGTGACATCACTAACAGAGACCTGCTCACTTCAAACCAATAAGAGGCACAAAAACACAGAAATCCTTCATATTAAATAAAAAATGTTCCAACTCTGACAGAAAAAAAGGGCCTTTAAATATCCAAAATAGCCAAAAAAAAGAATATCAAATATTCACTTTATATTCATTATGCATGTTTTCTGCAATTTCTGCTCATAGCTAGGCTGAAAGTTAGGCTTATCTTCAGTGGAGCCCCCCCCTTCTCTTTCCTCATACTTCCACCTGCTTAGTTTTGCTTTGTCTTTAGTTTAATTACTTAAAGTTATCAGATTCCAATTTCTTATTTTTTTCTGAAAAAAACCTATAAAAACCTAAAGGCATTCAGTTCATAATAATTTAAGATAAAGAAAAAAGCTGCAAGAAACTTTTGGTGCCAGAAACCTTTTTACGCTTTTTATTATTCTGTGAATGTGATGCTCCAGGTTACCGAACTGGTCAGGCTCCTCCGCGAGGAGGATCTGCGCTGTGACCTTTATTCCCATCGCTCCTCACCACAAATCCCTCGTCACGAGCGCTTTGTCTGCATATAGAGCTCGTGTCCCGCGGTCTCTTTTCCTACTCGATGCCCTTGCCCACACTTTGCCCCCATCCCGCTGCATGACCTGAATCCTAACAACTCCTCCAACCCCCTCGCGCACAGACCTCTCCTGCCCCATTTTGCCCATGTTGCCAGCCTCTCCCCGGGGAGGCCGTGGCGGTGCCCTCCAAAAAAAAAGGCTCCGAGGGGGTAATTGGTCTTAAGCTCTACTGCTCTTTTCTAACAGACGAACGGAGCTCAAACGGCAGCGGATAATAAGAAGCCTTCCAGCTCTAATCCTGCTGAGGGTAAACCGCAGCAGACCCAGTGAATCATCCCCTAATGCGAAGAAAAAAACCCACATACACTCTGCTCTGCTGGAGACTGAGGGGTGGAGAGAATAAAAGCCAAAACTCCAGGCGCTGGGAGGGAAGAGCAGGTCCAACCCATTTGACATGTGGAGTTAGAGAGCGAAATATATATATACAGACCCAAATCACTGCCAGGCTTTCTCTCCCTGATCCTCTTCTCATCTCATTCTCTCTACCTTTTTTCATTCTTTCTGCAGTTCAACACTTGCTTCTTTCTCTCATACAAACGTCCCTTCGTGTCTTTTCACTTGTTTCTTTCTCGCTCTTCCGTCTTTGTCTCCCCCTCCTCGTCCTCCTCGTCCTCCCCTTCAGCTCACGAGTGCGGCGATGGGGTTATTCCAAGCTTTCATCTCTTTAAGCTGCAGCAGAACATCGGCTTTTTGGACGTCGGGGTCTGAGCTGTCGAGAACAGATGAGCGTCACATCATCTGCGTAAAAAAGGTTTACGGTAACAGCTGCCGATGCATTTATTTTGTTTTCTTCTTCTTTTGGAAAAAAGAGATGCAGCTTGTCTTCCGTTTCAACCACGATGCCGCATTTGCACAACGAGCGACACAGCAACAGGCTTCTTCAACGGAAGCTAAAAACAAACGTAATGCGCTAAAAATGGCGCTGGTCTCAACTTGTTTTTCTGCGCGAAATGACGCGGTGAAGCTTCAACGTTTTTGTTAAGATGGAAGAAAAACATTTCTGTTGCCGTTTGCCAGTATCACTGCTGTTTAACGGGCATCAACTTCAACAACTTAGTGGCTGGCCACGCTAGTGTGACGATAGCTTAACCCTTCAATGGCGAAGGCCGCGTATCAACGGACAGACAAATTGAACTCCTGGGTTCTTTTCCTTAAATTAGGAAAACTTTATTCAAAACCACATCTATATTCATATGGATAAAAATCAAGCCCTTCAAAAAATCGAACGCGATCTATTTGGAAGGAAACTCGAACAATTGGATGGAAACCTACTTGTGTGATGGCAGAGGCAGCTTTGTTAGACGTCTAGCTTAGTTACCTGTAACATATTTGCTTTCAACACAGATTCAGATGCTGCAAAAGTCAAATTGTTTGCTCGGACATAAGATAATTCTGGAGTATTTGCACAAACAATTAGTTGTTGTCCCCTGACAGCAGCTATTGCTAACAATTATGTTCTTCTTGTCTTTATTCCAGAAGTAAAACACATCATTTCCTGACAAAAACCCACCAGACTTGCTTAAATACTTGTGATTATGACATAAACTAAGTGATGGGAAGCAAATCTGACACTTATTTTTTTGTGGCTCCCTTTCAATCGGTGCCATTTCAGTAACATCTAATTTTCAACAAAAGAGCCAAAACATCCCACATGCCACCCACTCCCAGAATAAAATAACAGAGAGAGAGAGAGAGAGAGAGAGAGAGAGAGAGAGAGAGAGAGAGA